ATATGTTGTAAAGGAAAAAGTCTAAATAATGAAAGCAGTGTTTTGTTTTTACCTCGGGCATACAGGTTGGAGAAGTCGGTCTCTGTGCGCCTGAAGCGCGCGTCTCCTCCGCTGTTATCGCAGGAGGACAGCAGGTTTTTGGCCGCGCGCTCCTTGAAGGAGCTCACGATCCTGCTCCTCTCCTCCAGACTGTTGTTCTTCTGCAGGAAGCCTGAACGGGTACAGGAGGGAGGGGAGTCCAGAGGATGGTTATTAAGCTTCCCAAACATGATGCGGTCCGCGCTCCAACACTGGACTCGTCCCTCTGTGAGGACCTGCTGCTCCATCCGCTTCTATTTATAGGCTGCGGGGGACCCGCCGTGACATCAGCACCAAACTCAAATGGCTGTCACGTACAACGGCTGTAAATTCTTCTTCATAATGCTATACCATTAATTCCACTTTAAAACAGCTCAAAAGCAGATTATGCGTAAAAAGCGCATTTTGGTCAAAAGGCCGCATGTTGAGAGAATTCATCAAATCAACACATGGGGCTCCTGGGATGGTAAACCTGCCTCTTTCTTCCTCTGATAAGGACATTTGGTTTCATTGTGTTTAGCAGTTTAACACTCCAGCGTAATTAACTGGCCCTTAATGGAAAAACAGCGGAAAAACTGCGCTGCGCGCTGGAGCATGACATTCACGGTTCTGGGGGATGTGAAATGCGTCCTTGGTTGCTCAGAATGAGCCTGAAAACGTGGAAATTGAAAAAAAAAATCCATCTCGCATAATTTCCCCTTACTCTTCCACACAGGAAAATAGATAAATAGAGAGAGAGAGACAGAGAGAGAGAGAGAGAGAGAGAGAGAGAGAGAGAGAGAGAGAGAGAAACGTATTTTCTTAAATGCATCTTCTAAATGATAAAAACCAAATTCAGTTGACTAAATTTAATATGTTTATTTCCTATTTTTTATTTTAAAATTGATGTCTCATGCACAAGTAAAATATAAAAAAGGACAATAATCTAGATATGACGATTTTAAAAGTATCACGCCCGAAAGAACTAGGGGTGAGGAGGGTGCTGCAGCCCTGCAGATTAATGCAAGAGGACATAAATAAACAGTTCACAAATATACATAAATAAAAAGGATTTTAACAGTGCTGCACATGCTTTAATTCCAGAAAAAAATGTTAATATTGTTATTTTAGTCTAACACAAGGTAAAATTTGTGCACACATCCTTTTTTTGTTTGTGTTTTATTTTGCTTTTTTGACAAATGTTTAAAACTCACAGAAAACGACAGATTAGCTCCCTCTAAATTTGAGGTCGCAATTGCAATTTTATTATATAAAACATACAACACACTGCTGAACATATTCATAATGTAAATGTAAAATGATGCCTTATGTTATCAGACACTGCAGTGTGCTCGTCACTGCATACTGCATGCTTTTGATATTATGATGTTGAGTGTTAGACCCCCCCCCCCCCCCAACACCACCACCACTGCCAACTGAAACACGTTGCTATGGAAGAAAGAAGGCATCTCACCACATATCTTCATTCCCAGTTTTCTGGTACACCCATGAGCCACTCCACACCAGGCATCATAACCTGACATTATTCAAGAAAAACAACCTGTTAGGTTCAAAATAAAACACGTAACGTCCAGCATTCGTGTTAACACAACAGCGAGCATCCTCCCACTGGTGCCACCATTTTATCATCAGGCCCTTCAGATTAATTAGACGTTGAAATTCATGGCAGGCCGGCCTGCGGATCTAATTGAGTGAAAAGATGCTGGTTAAAGCGCGGGTGCAGACAGGCGCGAGGCGGCTGGATGGTGACAGATATGGAGAATTACTGCCTTATCAAGAGCCTCCAGCCTGGGAGGAGGAGGTGGTGGTGGTGGTGGTGGTGGGTCTCAGAAAAGGCTCAAAAGCAGCAATCTGGCAGAAGGGGTGGGGGGGGGGGGGGGGGGGGGGGGGAGCATCAGTCCCAATTTAACCCTTGGCTTGGACCATTAGATGAATCATTGCTCGGATCATCTTAAAAGATTTATTTGTCTCTCCTAAAAAAGGTAGAGGAGGTGAGAAGGGACAAAAAGGCTGTGTTTAAGAAAAGGGGGGTTTGATGCAGCTATATCTTTAATGCAGGGATGCAACGGCCTAAATGGGGTTTAATCACTGCTATTAATCCCATGACTGAGCCTGGAATTAGGATTTATTTTTTTTATTATTTTTTTAATAAGCAAAAACAAATTTTATCTGGAAGGAGAGAACTCATGTTGTGTCTGTTTTATTGTGTTCACAAGGACAAACAGTCTCTCCTATTTCCATTTTTTTATATTTTGGCTGTTTATTTTTTATCTTTTTTCTTCTTTTAGGGTTTTTACCAGTTAACAAAAAAAAAAGGGGGGGGGGGGGGGTCTACAGCTCAGTGGACAGAGTGCTCCTGCCTGAAGCTCGAGTGCCATTAGAGTCCATTTAATGTGGCAGAATTAACAATCACTTCAGGGACAATTTTCAGTCTTCGATGCAGACATTTCACTCTGAAAGAAAACAAACAAACGCAACAACAACAACAATAATAATTAATATTAATGATAATAATAATATATGATGCTCTGCAGCCTCAGGCTTGTTTTGCTGCAGGTTTGACAGCAGCTCTGGATCTGAGGACCCTCCCCATCGATGAAAATGATTAATGGCGATGCCCACAAAGTAAATAGCACAAGTGAAAATGGCATTTTATCTGTGATGGACCTACTTGAGCCCGGCGGCCGTAAATTTGTCGAGTTGGGATCCGCTTCACCAGCCGAGGGGGAGGAGGAGGAGGTGGAGGTGGGGGGTGCAGACGACGCCATCAAGACCCTGAGCCAAAATTTTTCACCTCCAAAACCAGCCTGGTCGCCTCCCGTTTTTTATATATATATATATATATATTTTTTTTTTTTTCTTCTACTGCTTCAAAATCAAGAAAGTGACAAATGAGGCTTTTACCCTGAGCAGCTTCAGCTGGAGACAGACCTGTAGAAGACAAGGACACAGTCTGTCCAGTTTGTCTTTTCAAGCAAAAACTCTACAAATGCAAAATTATACAAACACGTGCAGGCAATCTATAATTCAAATTAAAGGCTGAAAAATGCATTTTTTTGTTATAAAGGCTTTTTTTTTCTTTCAAAATAAAATAAAATAAATGGCCTAAATCTGTGACTTCACCTCCTGATTGACATGAATCAGGTTCAAGGTGATTTCTGCTCCAATCACAGTCTCAGGTTGCACAAAATACCAAAGGAGTCTTTGGAGATGCACCTGACATTTAAAACATATTATCTTCAGCTCTATATATAAAAAAAAACACCTGTTAGAGCATCCTCCAATAACAAGAAGTTTATTTCAGTTTTCAGGGTTTAGCAACATAAATCCATGAAGCCACTCACCGTGATGAAGAGTGCAGGTGAAACTGTCCACAAAAAAAGGGGGCAAGGTGAATTTATGAGCAAATTAAATCCTGAAGGATGCGCGAGGAGGAGGAGGAGACAAAAAAGCGCAAAAACGGCGGAATTGTCCTTTAAATCCCACTCAAGGTCACCTTGTTGTTGAAGAAGTAATGTGCTGATAGTTAAATCAGTCCTCGTTGTTTCAAATCTTTTCCTCTGAGTGTGTGTGAGTGCGCATGAGCCTCGGCGTGTCTGTCTCCAGCAGCAGCAGCTGCAGCAGGGCTGTCTGCTGGCTGCGCGTTTGGCACCAAATGGCGCCGCTGGCGGCCCCAAAGAAGTGAGAGTTTTTTTTTTTCTTTCTGTTTTTATAAGTGTAGATCCAGCTGCGTCTGTAATCCTGGTCACATGAAGTTTGAAGCTGGGAGGAGGGAGGAGATCTGGTTTTGTTCTTGTGTGGTGGTGGTGGTGGTGGTGGTGGTGGGGAGAAACCATGCGGGGTGGAGAGATGAGACAGCGAGACAATCATGAGCCTAAATGCTCCTTTAATTGGTGCCATTTGTTTACTTCACCCTCCCCAGTGTGCTGAGGGATTTTTCTCTTGATATAAATATAATTCAACAAGAGTACCCTTGTAAATGATATAATATCTGCCTGTCACACATTTTCTTTTATTTATTGCAGGCTGACAAGTAAAGATGTAACCTGCAAAATTCTGCAAATAATGAGTCCACAAGGTGGCAGTGAGAAACCGAGGATGACTCCTGCAGGAGCAGGAACCCAAGTGGGCCACGAGCCACAAAAAGACCTCACTGATCTAATTATAAACAGGCCTATTAATCTGGAACACGTCACCATCATACATGACTGCAGACACACAACCAGGACGCAGCCAATCACGCACTCAGTCCAGAGCAGAGATTTGTTACCTCCGCTCTGCCCTGATGGATGTCATGTCACATGCTGTGGATCAAACTGGGTTTTAAGGGACCTGCAGTGTCTTCAGCACCGGACAGCTTCATTACACAGGTTCTGTCCAGTTCAGAGCAGAAGAGCTATTTGTCCTGCTGATTTCCTCTTTAAATGTCGCAGGGCATTTTGAGAAGATGATGTCTTAAAGTTGTCTTATGCACATTTATGAAATACTAGGCTGATCATCCAGTCTTTTGCTTAATTTCATTTATTTGTTTAAAAGGGCGGTGCACATTCATTGATATTTCTTTATTACACAGCGATATATATGTATGCAGAAATTAGCTCAGTATCTAAATTTCATATGTTGCCATTGCAGATAAAGGAAATAAACCTATAATAAAATTTTTAAAAAAAACATGCGCAAAACAAATACTGATAAAACAACCCAAAAAACAAAATACAGTAAATATCTACAAGCTGCACAGATAAAATGGGCTTATTTTATCAATGAGAGCATGACATGATTTGCTTTTAGCCAAAGCTGAAGTTTCGTTAAATAATGATAATAAAAAGTCAAAGTCTCAGACGTCTCCCCATAGTTTATTCCAGGATTGTGTTATTTTAATTGATTTAACTTTTTGATCAAATTTTGTACTCTGTCTACATATGTTGCTTTAACTCAGTCTCTGAGATCTGGTAATAATTCTGGTTTTACACTACGAGATACAAACTAGCAATGGAGGAAGGGCAAGCCCATTTAAAATCTTCAGAACAACACAGATCACTAAATATTTAATAATTTTAAGTCTGCTTGCTCAATATATTACAATACGGAAAGATTGTTAATCTACATTTTGATTGTCTTTTTGAAGAGAGACTTGATTCAGTGCACTCGCTTTCGTATGGGACAAGGTCATAAGAACAATATATGAAGCAAGATCATAGCATGGAAATTTGTTTTTGCCCATTGTAAAGCAAAAAAAAGGTCTGATATGATGAAAATTTACCAAGCTGAACTTGATTACAGTTGTAGGGTTTTTTTATATGTTGCCATGGGATGTAAAATATGAGCCAAAGACAACACCGAGATTTATTAACGTTTGTTTAACCAGACAAATCCCACTGAGAACACAGATGTGCCTTGCAAGGGAGGCCTGGGTCTTAAGGCAACTACAAGTTTTGTGAGATATTTGACCTGAGCCATCATATCAAGTCTCTCTCCATTCACATCTGCACTTGGTCTTGGACTCCCTGCTGGCATGTACACACACACAAAAAAAGCGTAAATACATTTTAATAAGCATGAATGAATGAAAGCTACAGAAGAGTTACAGGTACCCTCACTTCATAAAATACATCAGCTACTTCCTGTGCTCCATGGGTGCACAATAAAGTATCGTCTGCATATAAATGAACTTTAACACTTGAAAAAGCACTTTAACACTTGAAAAATCATTTGGTAAATTATTGATATAAAGTTAAAAAAGAACAGGTCCTAATATCGAGCCTTGGGGGACCCCAGCTAAGCAGGTGAAAGTGACATGGTGAAATTGAGTCACTAACTTGTCAGTCTTTATTCTATTAGACAGATATGATTTCATCCAGCAGAGGGCTCTGTTAGAAAAATAAAACCAGAGCATTGGCAACACTATGATTAATTGTATAAACTTTAAGTTTAAAATCCAAAAGATAACCTTGCTTGTCCAAAAAGAGTTTGATATTTTTAAAGACAAAACAGGCAGTTGTTTTCGTTGACTGATGGTTTCTGAGCCCAAACTTCATTGGTTGATGAGGGGTGGCACACACTGTATGTTAAGCTGTTCTGTTTGTGCAAGTGTCTATGCTTTTAATACAACCCCAGGTACCTAATAAGTTGAGATGTTGTGCAAAATGCAAGCTAAAACAGAGTGTAGAGATTTCTATATTTCATTAATCCATGTTTTATTTATAATGGAACACTGTGCAATTGTACTTTTAAAAAAAACTAGCAGTTTTTTATTTTATTTTACGGCAGCAACACATCTAAAAAAAATGTAGACAGTGTAAACAAAAGATTGCAGAAATAAGTGGGACAATTAAGAAACAGCTGTAGGCACATTTTGTAACAAACTGGGTTAATTGGCAACAAGCCAGTAAGAGAACTGGTTGTTAAAAGGGCATTTTAAAAAGGCTGAATTAGAAAGATGGGCAGAGGTTCAACTGTGATAAGATGGAAAAACATTATTTTTAAGTAGAGGGACCATCCAGCCTGTTGTGAGCACACATTTTAAAAGACTGCCTCTCTGATGGTATAGGGGGGCATTAGTACCTTTGGCATGAGCAGCTTACATATAGTAAACATATATAATACAGTATATACCTGAAGGTTATAGAACAGCATATGCGCCCATCCAGACAGTCTTTTTACATTTTGGTAAGACACTGTTTGTAAAATTTGCAATTTTAATTTGATTTTGAACCAACAAGAAAACAATAATAGTTACAAAAAATAGCAGCAAAAAGACTGAATGCTTTAGAGGTCTTGAGTACTGTGCATAAGTTTGATCATATATTTAGTATATTTCAAAGGTCCAATTAAAAAATTTAAACAAATGGTGTATTTGTGACAAGCCACTTTGGCCACAAAGTGACAAAAGTTTTAATTAATTTACTTATTTGTTACGTTCTGCTAAAGTATCTGTCATGTGCCTACACAACACAAGTTCATTCCTCATGTTTTGGAGCCTTAACAATTCATATGTTGGTGTTAATTAAACTAACAAATAAACAAGAACATTCCACTAATTAAATGATCAGATACTTGTCTGAAAAAGTGATCAAAGTACAAAAACACAAATCATTAGAAAGTTTGAATAACAACTGACCCGGACCACCTTAAAGAAGAAAGACTCACTCGTTGGACACAGAAAATAAAAAAAATCACATTTATTGTTCACGTTTCCAATCTGCCAGCTTTGTGACAACACAATCAGGTAAAATGCCACAAAAACAAGATAAAAACGCTTGATTTGCATCTACTGAGGAGCTTACAAGTAAAACAAATCATTTCACAACCCATAGAAAAGGGACTTTCTTTTGGAGCAGTTGTTTAAAACTGTCCACAAGAGGGGGTATGATACTTTACTTACATTTAAATTTCTCTATGCAACTGTAAAGAAAGCAATGAATTAAAAAAACTAAGTTTAAGACACTAATTGTTTGCCATCAGTCTGATATTACTAAAGCATTTCCACGAAAATAAGTTGGAAAATTTGAACTGAAACTCCTGCCAGGAGAATCATCATTGGGATGTCTTCTGTAAAACCTGGAATTCAGAGCTGAAGATAAGAGATAAAACATTTAAAAATTGTGTTAAAGCTTCTCTTTAATTTAACTGAAGCGTGATAAACAACATCTGCAATAAACATTATTAAACTGCAGCTGGAATTTTAGAGGTCTTCAGGTCAAATTATTTATTTTTTGTTCTTACTGACTTTACCATAAAAAAGTCTGTCAAATTTCTTATTTATAAAAAAAAAGTTACTTGTTAATTGTTAGCCATCATTCTACTACAGTCATCTAATAATTATAAATATAGAGTTATTACATGAAAAATTCAGTTTCTATTTGGGATTGTATTGGATCAATAATGAGAGAACTGATTTTGAAAACCTCTGGCTTCTAACATTTTTGATTTATACAAAGAGTAAAGGTCAAGGTTTCTTTATTGTCATTCTCATCACATGTGGTACATGTGATGGAACAAAATTGTGTACACAGGGTCCCAGTTACATCCAACAAAAGTATAAATTGTAAAAAAAAAAAAAAACCAGTAATAAGATCTAAGATATGAACTAAGAAATAAAAAATACACTAAAGTCATTAGGTTTATTTTTGATTGCTTGTGCAGTTCAGTTCACAAGCTTTACGTGTCTTTTTTCAGAGTAAAGGTTAGAAATAAGGACAAAGTACATTTAGAACAAAGCAACAACAAAATGAAAGATTCTGAAAATTTTAATTTAAATTACTGTGATGTAAAGAAACCAATACCAACAGATGAAGATTGTAAACTGATCCTTACATCCATCCATTCATCCATCCACTGATGAAATTAGATAAAACTAGATGATTTAAAATAATATATTTGGCTTAAATGTGTTTAACTGCTTGTTTAATATGGAGATTTCCCCCCACTTTTTTGGCTTTTTATGCTCATATTTTTTACGTAAACAAAAAATGTTTAACCAATCAAGTTTTGTTCTGATTAAACACAGAAAACAGCATGAGTTTGATTCCTTAGTTTGTATAAACAAATTAGATTTGTACATTAAACATCTGTGTGGCTACAGATTCTGCTCACATATAGCCTTTCTGTAATGCATTGGATTCTTTCTAAATTTTGAAAAAAAAATTGTTTTCACTTAGGATACAAAATGAAAGAATGTGGGAAGGATGGAGAAATGTAACTACCACACTTTTCGCTGTATAAGTCACACTTTTATGCATAAAATAGCATGCCTGTGACTTATACAGTTAAGCAAATTATTTGTTTTTTCCCCATATTTATAAACCAATTTTTGTCTGAGATCTGATGATTTCATTAATTCTGACATGGAAAATATTGAACACTACCATTTTCAGCCACTAGAGGGCCCTTCAGTAATGTGGCAAGCCAAGTGTCTCATTAATAGGTAAAAGTGGCTATTAATGAAACACTTGGCTTGCCGTACAGGCCGCCTTTGTCTCGCTCTAGAACTCCTGGAGTAAACATCAAATCAGTTGCGTT